CTCTAATTTTTTTCTTATGAAATGATAAAGCTACCCATTTCATTATGTATGACTCAATTTTTTTTTATTGGAGTTAAAACTAACGTAGATATATGACCGAACCTAACCAACCCTACCTAACCTAACCTAACCTATCTTTATAGGTTAGGTTAGGTTGGGTAGCCGAAAAAGTTAGGTTAGGTTAGGTTAGGTAGGTTAGGTAGTCGAAAAACAATTAATTCATGAAAACTTGGCTTATTAGGCAAATTGGGCCTTGCATAGTAGACTGAAAAGTGCGTTCTGGCTATTAGGTACGACATATATATATATATATATATATATATATATATATATATATATATATATATATATATATATATATATATATATATATATATATATATATATATATATATATATATATATATATATATATATATATATATATATATATATATATATATATATATATATATATATATATATATATATATATATATATATATATATATATATATATATATATATATATATATATATATATATATATATATATATATATATATATATATATATATATATATATATATATATATATATATATATATATATATATATATATATATATATATATATATATATATATATATATATATATATATATATATATATATATATATATATATATATATATATATATATATATATATATATATATATATATATATATATATATATATATATATATATATATATATAAGGGGGTACCACCACTGGTGTAATTATAGGGACCCACAGCCTCAGAGAAGGGAACACAGAGCACTCAGGGAAAAACTTGACATTTAACTCTGAATGCGAAAGAGTGTTCACTTCTCCTACCACCCCCTTTTTTTTTTATTATGATGTACACTTTATTATGCAAGGTTATACAGTTACATATCTGATTTCATACAAAAAATGAACATTAAGAGGACACAAGAAAAAGTTCGCTTCCTAGAGGCTGTAGATTTCCTCGAACTCCTCCGACGCCGGGCAGGAACCGAGGATGCAGCGGGCATTTCCCCTCTGGATCGCGACACTGAGGCGCTGAAAGAGAAAACTTGCTGCTCTAGGGTCTCTTGTGGTGTCAATGAGCTTGGAACCAAGATCCTTAAGAAACCTTCTTGCACTCTCACCCCATGGGCCTAGGGTCTCAGACCCTATTGGAACGAAATTGTACCTTTGATCTAATTGCCTGTACTTGACTGACTTTTGTTTTTCTCTGTGTGTCGCTGCGGCTCCTGCCGTGCCGGCAGAGAGGGTGATGTATGTCGTTGCCAGGGTGGATACGCAAGTATAGTCCCATGCTAACTGCCTGCCACCCTTCCACGGACGCAGTGTGATTCCGTCTGGTCGGCCGGCAAAGCTAACAGAGTCACGGTTCAGTAGGTTGCGGGGCTCTCTCTCCGCTGGACACTGAGCAGAGGCAAGGCTTCTTTTAATGATGTCGTTGACTTCGTCGTGTCTAGTGTGCCAACCACCCGATTTTCCACAGTGCAGGCCATGCAATCCATATTCGTCAGCATCTGCCTCGCCGCAAATACACCTGTGAACAGTGTGGATAGGGGCAGCAAGGCGCAGAGCGACTGCAATACGGAGCTCCTGCGGATCAAGACGTGTGCCTGTCGCAGACATAGGGACTGCCAGAAGGAAGTCCCCTGCATGGGGAGCCTGCACAGCTGTGAGGCGTGCACGATCACTGGGGGTTGTTGCTGCCTCCAGCAAAGCTGTGGCTTCTTTGTCTACAATGGGGCTGTCCCAACTGGATTGTTTCTTGGCTTTCGGCATGGCTGGTCTGAGTGCTGGGTCTGTCATGGCACCCCATTTCGTGTCACATTCCGTGTAGTGGGGGTCCTGTATCCCCGCTACATCACTCAGGGTGTCAGGTAGAATTTCCTTAACCAGGTCATCTGATGCTGAGGAGGAAGACAGGAAGGCTGGGACTGCAATTTGGGTGGCGGTGCGGACACCCAAGCCACCGAGCCTGACAGGAAGAGTGGCTTGTTTCCACTGGCATTCGTTGAGAGAGAGGTTAACAACTTTTTCCAGCATGGTCTTCAGTAGGAGGTCATACTCGTCAAGCTTTGGGTTGTTGTAAGATGGGGCGCACCTCAGAAAGTAGGTTAGCCTCGGAAGGGATAGGCATTTGGTGAGGAGATAAAAAGCATCGTGGGCATCGATGTCACCTATTCTGTCTTCCATCCTCCTAAGGTCTGCGATTTTCTTGTCGAGGATCTCCTCAATGGCGTTAGACCCGAGGGGAGCTCCAAGGAGGGTGCTGTTCATATATTCATATATATATGCTGTTATATATATATATATATATATATATATATATATATATATATATATATATATATATATATATATATATATATATATATATATATATATATATATATATATATATATGTCGTACCTAGTAGCCAGAACTCACTTTTTGGCCTACTATTCAAGGCCCGATTTGCCTAATAAGCCAAGTTTTCCTGAATTAATATATTTTTTCTAATTTTTTTTCTTATGAAATGATAAAGCTACCCATTTCATTATGTATGAGGTCATTTTTTTTATTGGAGTTAAAATTAACGTAGATATATGACCGAACCTAACCAACCCTACCTAACCTAACCTAACCTATCTTGATAGGTTAGGTTTGGTTAGGTAGCCGAAAAAGTTAGGTTAGGTTAGGTTAGGTAGGTTAGGTAGTCGAAAAACAAATAATTCATGAAAACTTGGCTTATTAGGCAAATCGGGCCTTGCATAGTAGGCTGAGAAGTGCGTTCTGGCTATTAGGTACGACATATATATATATATATATATATATATATATATATATATATATATATATATATATGTCGTACCTAGTAGCCAGAACTCACTTCTCAGCCTACTATTCAAGGCCAGATTTGCCTAGTAAGCCAAGTTTTCCTGAATTAATATATTTACTATAATTTTTTTCTTATGAAATGATAAAGCAACCCTTTTCTCTATGTATGAGGTCAATTTTATTTTATTGGAGTTAAAATTAACGTAGATATATGACCGAACCTAACCAACCCTACCTAACCTAACCTAACCTATATTATAGGTAAGGTTAGGTTAGGTAGCCAAAAAAAGCTAGGTTAGGTTAGGTTAGGTAGGTTAGGTAGACGAAAAAACATTAATTCATGAAAACTTGGCTTATTAGGCAAATCGGGCCTTGAATAGTAGGCTGAGAAGTGCGTTCTGGCTATTAGGTACGACATATATATATATATATATATATATATATATGTCGTACCTAATAGCCAGAACGCACTTCTCAGCCTACTATTCAAGGCCCGATTTGCCTAATAAGCCAAGTTTTCATGAATTAATGTTTTTCGTCTACCTAACCTACCTAACCTAACCTAACCTAGCTTTTTTGGCAACCTAACCTAACCTTACCTATAAATATAGGTTAGGTTAGGTTAGGGAGGGTTGGTTAGGTTCGGTCATATATCTACGTTAATTTTAACTCCAATAAAAAAAAATTGACCTCATACATAGAGAAATGGGTGGCTTTATCATTTCATAAGAAAAAAATTATAGTAAATATATTAATTCAGGAAAACTTGGCTTATTAGGCAAATCGGGCCTTGAATAGTAGGCTGAGAAGTGAGTTCTGGCTACTAGGTACGACATATATATATATATATATATATATATATATATATATATATATATATATATATATATATATATGCCAATATATTATAATAATAATTTATATATGAGAAAATTCCTGTTTTGAATGAACAGCATGTTAAAATTTACGAATGCCTCTGTGGGGTCGACCGCTGGATGTAATGGACTTGAGTAGAGGATGGTTTGCAAAATCCAAGTATACTACATTCACCGGAAGTCCTTTGAGTAGCTGGTTACCGTTTCCGAGAATGTGAGCAGGATCAATTTTTAACAAATCCATGTTGCGTCGATTTTACAAGATTGTTCGCTAAAAGATGGTGAATCATAACCTTCCTTAGGATTTTTCTCTCCATGAGCTTGCAGGCATGTGATGTCAAGCTGATTGGACGATAGTTTTCTGCTGGGCTCTTTCTGCCTTTTTTCTTCTCGTTTTTAAATAATTTTTTTTTTATTAAATAAATTTATTTTTTTTAAATAAATTTTTAATTTAAAACAAAATATTTTTTTAAATATATTAAATAGTTTTTTTTAATTAATTTTAAATTTAAAAAAAAATATTAAATTTTAAAAATAAATCATTTGCATATTTCCAACCTAGGGTATCCCTTGGTCCAGAGATTTTATGACCTTGACATTTTCCCCATAATACTTCCATGCCATGATCACCTATCAGCTCCCTCCAGGTGGTGTTTTGCAGTCCCCCTCTCATTCCTTGATAGTGTCCTCGAAGATAGTCTAGCAAGTCATCATTATGAAACCTTTATGTGGGTTTTTATATTTGTAATTCATCTTATAACTTTGTGATCACACGACAGGGTTAGCTTTTCCCCTACCTGAATTTGATCAATCATGCCTTTTTCTGTTGTTAGCACAAGACCTAGAATGCTGTTACTTCATGTGGGTTTTACCCCGTAGAAACTACTGTTATACAATGACTCATAGCACCTGCCATATAAACTTACTTTAATTATAATAATCGACTGCATTACCAAGACCCTTTAATCCCATGATGCTCGAAATTTGGCTCCAGCATATTCAACCAAAGCTACAAAGCTTAGCCACATCAAACGGCTCCAACTTGATTTGGAATGAAGAAACTATGGCAAAGGCGAACATAACTTAATGTCTTATTCTTTAGGCCCGTCCCCCATCTTGTATTCTTGAGGCCTAATGATCCTCACATTGTCTGTAATCTTGACTCCCAGCATCTGTGTTAATCTTTGTTGCCACTGTTATATATAAGGAGGAAGGAAAGTAATTATCAATAGAAGGCACCAAACTGGGAAGGCTATGTAGGAGGAAGGAAAACAAACATCTTTACTGCATATTTATTGTAAAAATGAGCCTCCTCACCAGAATAGATGCTATGTACATGCCATAAATATAAGGTAATTGAAACAAAAGAGCATCTAATTCTAATAGTATAAACCTAACCTACATAATACTTATTCCTCCGACAAATTGAACTCAATTCTATCAGCCCTGATGACTGTCTAAATGTCTCAAGGCTACAAAAAATGATAGCTATAATTTGGCACATGCTACTGACAATTCTGCTAGTGTGCTTCTGGCAATAGATTTGGGAATATGGGACTATGGAGCCCAATTTAAAAAGAATATAAAATTACAATGCATGTGTTAAGAAATTTATACATTTTATGAATGTAAAATAACTAACTAAACACAATCTTTATCTTACACTGTGTATATACACGAGGTCATCAAGTATAGTACTCAAATTTTATTATCCTGTATCAGTATAAAGTGCACTATACTATATTAACATTTACCAAAAATATAAAACACTTAATTTCTGTATTAAAACCAGAAATAAGTTGCCTTCCATTTTATACCAAGTTTCAACTTAAGTAAAACATTGATTTACTGAAATTTTCACTACTTAGGTGAAGTTTTCTATAATTACAGTATTTTATTTAACTGCATTTTTCTACGAATTTAACTCCATTTCCTATCAATAAATCCCACAACTACCTATACAGTCTTGTGTTACGGTAATCTCCTGCTTAGCAGTATATCCTGCCTGTTCTTTTACCGCTTATTCATCAACGTATCTGCATGCTCCAACATCAACGACTACAACAATATGTGCTCAAACATTTGTGTCTAGATAGTTCTCCACACCCAAGACACCTGTACCCGATGTCTCGCTGGTTGACCAGACGCCACCACAGAACACTGTTCCTCCTCACAGAACATCGTGGGATAAGCAGCAGTGTCATCTGCTGCAAATAGGCCACAATAGCCAGTACCCACAAAGCACAATTCTGTAAAACTGTACTAACTTATTAAGGCTGCCACCTTAGATGGTAACATGGCCAAAACAGAAGTCCAGTGCCAACAAACTACACAGATCTGAGAATGGAAGTAGTTCTACACAGAAAAGGCTGAATGACAAAAGCAAAATGAAACAAATTATAAATGAAATCAACATAAAAAATACATACATCCTAAGAAACTACAAACAGCAGTATCAGATGTGAAATCAGCGGAGAATGATACAACCCGATCAATAATGTAAGCTATAGGAAATACCCACAGGGGCAAGGAAAACTAGCTACTTGAACCATCACAATGACAATCAGGTATTCTAAGCAGGCAAGGAAAAGCCAAGGCAGACCTGGCCAAGAACTTGTGCAACCAAATTGACTAGGTAAAATGCAAAGCAAGATGCAAAGGAGAAGGATCAACCATGATTGACAGTATGTTAGACAGCACAGAGTTAATTATTACACATCAATAGGCCTCATAGTGGATAGTTTCATGCTCTACCCATGAAGCAATATGACTTTTGAAGAAAGCTCATCGAGAAGGAAATTTAACCCCTACCCCCAGAGTAGGTATATTTGGTGGGCCAGGGAAAAACAGTAGTCGACTACCAAGATAGAGAAGCCTGGTCTGTCAAGAGTGAAATACAAAGCTAAGGTTTTGCAATGTAGGCATCATGAAATAGAAAGGTAACAATAACAAAGCAATGGCCTCCCCTGTAGAACTAATGTTTCAAGAATAACCAACATCACTTGGCTTAACTGAGGCCGAGGATGGGCTACATCATAAGTTCTGTGCTTCCTGAAGCCGTTACCAGGCAAGGGAGGAAGCAAGTTGATGGGGACCCAGATTGACTGTGCTGCCTGGTGGTGGTTAGATTCAGCACGGTGTAGTCTACATCAGAGCAATGATCATTTACCTCGGTACCCTTTGGTACCTTATTGTCTTTATGTAGTTGCTCGTTTTGTTTTGCTAATGCTTTCCGATGTTTTCTTCTTGGTTTTGGGATTGCTATATGATCTCTGAAGATCCTCTGATTTCAGAGCCAGATTCTGGTCCTTGGTGCCAGAAGACAATAGTGGGTCTCAAGAGACTGTGCATCTTCCCTCGGCATGGCTGGACCAGCGATTAGCTCGGGGACCTAATGAGTGAGCCCTCCCCAGAAAAGGGACAATCGTACAAGTTTTATCCTTTGGACTTCAGCAGTGTCAGAAATTTTGATACCAAATTTACTAACACCTGGCATACCAAGTAAAAATTCCTATGCCAGGAACCTACTAATATCACTTAATAGCTTTTATCACAGATCAGATTTAGTAACATTCCAGAGAAAATGGAATGGTGCCACATAAGCAAATCCGCTATTTACATCCCATATCTATCTTGCGAGAATACAAAACTACGAATGATAAAGTATTCTTCAGGATTTAATTTAATTAAACAAACAGTAAATACATGGCCAATATCCCAAAGTCGATAAAGACGAATTAGGATCCGTGAGAGGTAGGGAGACGCCACGCCATTATTGTACACACCACCAGGTAGCAGAGGACACATCTGAGCGAGTTCTCCAGACCTTCCTGCGAAGATAAGTTGTGGTAAGATAGAGTTGTGGGACTCTAGAGTCTCCTGTTACCATATTTCTACAAACCTTCGCTAGCCATAAAGATGTGTTCTAGTTCCGATTGACACAAGTTAGAGTTATCACTAGTGCTATAGGTCAATTGGTTATTACGTAGGCTGCCCACCCAAAACGGGTGAGCATTATTATATTAACAGCAATCCCTTTCTATTTATATATACCTCAGATCCTTACTGCTTGTGTTATGATGTAATTTATTCATAGGTGAAATCGAGGGGAAGGATATAGCTACCACGAATCAATTATCTGCCGATATCTTGTCTAGACACCATATTGCTTTGACCCAGAATGACGCGGCTCACATGATCAGGACACGTGCACGGCTGAATGACCAAATCCTACTATAATCAACAGCTAAGCTGTTTAAATGTTCTTTAACCTATGTAGTAGTAAACTAACTCAGTAACATACTGTTAGTTAATTTATGTAATTAGTAGGCTGCATACATAAACCCCCCCAAACTTGTGAGTTGGATAACACCAAGCTAGATAAATTAATGAAATGCAGTTCATTTTGCAAAATAGTCAACTTTCAAATTACAGTCCATTCTTAATTAGTAATATTAAAGTAAACTAATAAGTTAATAATTTAAAGTATGCAAATTTTAAAAAATTCCCCACAAGCAGTAAAGATGGATATAAATAAGAATTAACTGGATGTTACAGCAATTAAGTTTTATGAAACATTTAATAAAGTTCTAGTTTAATAAACTTCAGAATTTAAGGTGAACTAAAACAATCAATTACATGAGCCTGCTGATGCATTTGTTGAGTATATACATGACCACATCCACAGGTAAAACTGGGTTTAGTGGAGTAACAGCCCAAGTGTATTTCACTGTTCCGAGAGTGTAGTTGGGAGTTGCGAGTATTAAATGTGTGTGGTTGTGCGCGTGCGTTTGTGCATGACAGTGTGAGGTGGTGGAGCGCTTGGGAGAGCGAGGCACTGGCTGGCATCTGAAGGGTCAGCCATACTCCGACAGAAGAGCCTTGTACTAGCTTGCCAGCAGAGTTCTGTAAGGATCAATTTAGCATGTTTCGGTTCATATAAGGACCAGAGTTGACAGTACACCCTAGCAGGTTGGGCTCGGGCATTTAGATCAGTCAGAGGGAACACCACAGCAAGAGAGAGAGAGGACATACTAGCCAGCTCCTCCAACCTGGCAGGTTACCAGCCATCACCCACCCCTGGGTAAACTTAGAGGTGTGTATGTCAGTAGTGCCAGTCTTGATCAATGTCCTAGTAAATATAAGTGTAGTCCGAGCCAATAAAACCATGTATGGGTGAAGGTGTGTGGTGTGTTCGTATTACTCCTTTTAATTAATTCTAATGTTAAATTCCTACAGTGAATTTAAAATTCCATGACTTGATTAGTACATTCGAAGTGTTTGGTAAAAGTGTTCTGTTAAATTTACATTGAGTTTGTCGAGTCACTTACTTTATGTTTCATGAATAGAGATAGTAGTAATGAGCACTGTTGTCTCGGGTAAGATCATATTAGAGACAAGACGTGTAGCGAGGGGTAAGGAAGAAAGGGGCGAGCGATGAAGAGGCAAGCGAGAGTAGGGTGTGATCACACTCCTCCCACCCCGTGAGGTGTCCACTCTCGGGAATTAATTTAGTAAATTCAGTAAAGCAGCGTTTTCCTGTCTGCACTATTCAGGTGTTTAAAATGATTGTAAAATGACAGGAGGCTAGCAGCATTAGTAACAAGTATTGCTATATATTTATCCTCCTACTCCTTCCTTCTCTCATCTCCCCTTTCCTTCTCTACTTTAATCCCCCATTTTCTATTCTCTTCCATCTGACTCCCTCTTCCCGTTCGGTCCTCGTTTTCTATTCTCTCCCACCTCTCTACCTCAGTTCCTCCTTGAACCTCCTGTTTTCTATCACTACTCATTACCTCACTACTCCTTTTTCCATTACATTCCTTACTGTCTTCCTTTTCACCATCAGTAGTAGAGGAGTTTTACAGGTCGGTCAGAGAGGGGTAGACATTCACAAGGCTGAGTTAGACCTTTCCGTTTCAGTGGGACGCCTGACTCAAATGGGCAATCATAGTTTCCCTATTTGTGATGCTCTTGACAATGTGGACATATAAAAGGATGTAGATCTTCTGTGGTAAGGTTTCCTTATGAATCTATACATGTTTCCGAGTCAGAATTTATGGGTAATGGGGAAGGAGGAGTTGAACTGGTAGAAACTACTGGTTGTTCAAGGCCTGCATCATGTGACGGTGACAATGCTGATGAGCTCTGTTGCAATTCTTGATCACCATTCCCTACAACTTCAGGAGTATGCAAAGAAGATTCTCGAAAAATTTGTTTATTTTCTTCATTCGCATTCTCAACTTCCTGTAATAAAAAAATCACATTACTGCATTTTATTTAAGACAGCCTGATAAATATATGAAGCAAGTAATTATCAAAAGAAGGCACCAAACCGGAAGGCTATGTAGCACCATCAAATGTGTGGGATAATCAGAGGGCGCTAAATATCATCAAGGATGCCAATACGAGAACAGAAACGCATAAGGCGAACGATATCAAAAGTATCAGAGTCACCAAAAATACTATTGAGGGACAAGCAACCGCGGGGGACGGTCAGAAAACAAGACACGCTCGTCCCGGAATAAATATACACTATGAAACTCGACTCTCGTGGCAAACTTTTGAAATTCAGTATTCTCCCCCTTCCCAATAATAAATTACACTGGGTCAATCGAGGGAAGTGTTCTCCTTACACAGTAATTTTCTCATTATACAATACAACATGAATGCAAAAAATAACATTATAAATATAAAAATAAAATACTGCAATGAAGTACACTGGGTGGCTAAAAACCCAGCATTGACTAATAAAATGACTTTCTAGTTGAGCCCCATGGTTCCCAGAAGCTATCTCTATGAAATTACTCCATCTATAGTACTATGTCCCATCTGTTGTGGGGTTGTTTGGCTTATTGGAGACCAGATCCAGCACCTGCACCTCCCTTCTCCCTTACAGAGGCAGAGAGAGCAAGTGACATTCTTCACTGGGAAAGCATCCAGAGAGCCAATAAAAATATAGCATTACAGACCACTACCAGGTTCACAAATATTGAAACCTTGAAAACTGCCAAACTACACACTCCCCCAAATAATGTAAACAATCAACAAGCACAAACTGAAGATGTACATATATATATTCCTAAACAAGTCTTGAAACGAGCTCAAACCTGTAAGTATCTAGTTCTGGAGCAGATGAAAAACCCACAACCACCAACGCTCAAACCTGGAAGGAAGGAAAAACTTAAGGGAGCCAAAGGGGCTCAACCAGAAAAACACATTTCATTACATCATCAATGCTGGATTTCTGGGAAAGTCCCTTGCAGCTCCGTGAAGCTAACTAACCACAGAAAGAAACAAGGAATTTACCTTGGGAGGAGGAGAGACGGCAGGCCGAGAAACACGGTCAAAACAACACTAGCATAACTGGGCCCCCAGGTACATTGACTAAATACCAGGTAGCCAATATCCTTTAGACCTCCCAAATCCCCTGCACCCAAATACCAGTCCATGTTGGAAAAGATAGCCACAAGCACATCATATTGAGGAACAACCTGGGCAAGCGGGTATACCAAAGGCTGGCTAGACTTAACACTGCAGGCAACTTAAGAAATGCAAGTCTTGGAGCAGGGGAGCAAGGAAATGGGATCAGCCCATGAGGCATTCACCGAGGCAGAATCAGTGGCACAAAAGTTATCGGCAAAGAGCCACCAGTGGACACAACAAATGATGCATCCCGGCTAAACCAATTAAAAATCAATAAAGGACCCCTCCAGAATTCCACTGACATTCTCTGCCAGAATAGGAGAGAGCTGCAAATGAAAGTGGCCACCAGGGCCAAAAAGAGGAAAAAAAATCTGAAAAATAGCATAAAGCATGCATGCCTCTCATTGTGAGGACCTTATAAAAAAAAAAAGACAGCAGGGCTAGGCAAGGTTCCACACACCACACACACACACACCAACCCTTCAACACACTGCTACTTGCAGTCCACTACTGATAGTATCTCTTAAGGAATCACCTGTCAAGTTCTCACCTGTGAGAATTCTGTATTATATTACCTGTGGAGGTACACTCAGTCTGCCTGTTATGTGCTACATACATCACCACTAATGGTGTAGCCACCGCCTATCTCTCTCTCTCGTCAATGTTCAGGTGACCACTCCATAGACACAAATTAGTCTCCTTTTTACTTGATGCTCGGTATCTCTAAGAATTGTCAGGGACTCTTATTGCTCTTTCAATATGAAATGGGGTCCACAGAGGTAAGATAAAGCTTCTAAGCTATAAAAATAGTACCTTTAATTCATCAGAATAAACCACTTGCCCTGCAGGTTTCATCAACTGGTGTACAGATTTCTGAGCCTATTGGACTATCATATATACATTTGAAACTGTGTATGGAGTCTGCCTCCACCACATCGCTTCCTAATGCATTCCATTTGTTAACTACCGACACACACACACACAAAAAAAGTTCTTTCTAATGTCACTTGTTCCTATGTTATCCTCGGATGTTTCACCGATTGTTTATCACCCGTTTCCTCTTTATTTACATCCACAGAGTGCTATTACTGTATATCAATATCTGCATCATGTATGTAAAACCCAGACAATAATTGTTTGTCATGATGACAACTGCATTCTCCTAGTAACATTCATAACAATAACCACATTCATCTAGTACACATAACCACAATATTTTCATGAATCAAGGTAAACTCCATTAAATCCACAAGACCTATTATTTCATCCTTTGCATAATACTGTACATGTAAAACCCAGACAATAATTGTTTAAATCGTCATATGACAATGACCGCATTACCTCGTCAATCAACATATGACAATGACCGCTGCCTACAGGTTAATATTCTTTCAACCATTATAATCCACTCCCTGCTGCTGAGGCATGTGTGGGTGGGTCACACTGTTGCTATAGTTAATTATTTTCATGTCCAGAAAGAAATGTGCCAGAACAAAATAAACACAGGAACATACCACAATGAGGATACCAAATAATTAATTGATCATCATGCATGTTTGATAAATTATTGGCTTGAAAAAGTTACTTTAGAATTAACTGTTAATCTTAAAAACCAGTAATAAATTTGTAATGCACATATAGGAGGTAACAATGAAAAATAAAATATTAGACAAATTTAGTAATTACTAACCTCTTTTACATATGGCATGTCTACATCTATACAGTCTGTCAGACTGATCATGCTCTCTCTTGATTTGGGTCTTGCAGGTGGGGTTTCCATTTGATCGGTTGTTGTTGTTGTAACCAATCTTGAAGTTCCAGATACTGAAGGAAGATTAGAAGAGGCAGAAGAAGAAGATCGAGCATCTCCTGCCGCTGAACAGTCAACGTGAGGATTTACATTGGCTGAGAAATCGTGTTGTGCTAAACCCGAGATCTGCAGTATCTTTGCTGTTTTCATAAATGAAATTAAATCTTCTGCTGCCACTGTAGTTTCCCCTCTGAAAATTTTTAAGTGAAATAATGTATAAGCTCATAATGCAATTAAGACACTATTAAGTAATTTGACAGTAGTACTTTCATATCTAATTTGATAAATTAAGCTTCTTTTCAAAAGATTTAGTTATACTGAATTCGCATATTATAATTGTTACATTATACAGCACAAAGACATTTAGAAAATAAATTTTGATGCTGGCCATATTTTCCCCCATTTGTAGCCAGAATATATCAAGTACAGTAATTACTTTAAAAAGTCAAAATCTTTAGAGAAGTATATCTGCTAAGTTATCACTCTTAAAAGTCAATGGAAATTCGTTACACTGCCCAACCCTCCTCCTGCATCTTAACTCCGACTATTCCATCTATTCGTTTGAAAGTTCTCTCCTTATGTGTGGTTTGGCTGCTGGCCACCCCGGCACAATCATTGCTTTGTTTGGGTTTTGCATATGGCTAGTGAATATCTGTCCCCCCCTCCCCTCCCCCTCTTCCTATCTGTTATCAGTGGATATAAACTGCATCCTGCTACTACGGCTTCAGGAAATAATGAAAACTTATTGTTCAGATCTTGAACAAGAGGTAAAATCAAGAGAATACACAGTATGATGAATTTTGAGTAAATACTAGATCATATAAAAGTAATTGAATTTGGCATTCTTAGGAGTGTTGTGTGTGCTAGATACAAAGATATTTGCATGCTATGCTAAAAATGAGTGATGTAGCAATGATCAAAAGTAAAGTACTTTGTATTGCATTCCTATATAAAAGTGTTTGAAAGTGGTTTAGGTAGACATTTGACGAATCAAAGAAACCAGTGCCAAGATGGTCAAGGAGGAGGAACACAGAACTCAAACAAGCATGACAGAGGTAGAGAAGAGCTTTGAACACATTTTAAAGTTCATGGTGAGAAGATTTGATGCCAATCTACAGAGTCTGATGACTTTTACAGATTTAACAGTTTTACAAAATGCAAAGAGATGGCTTGAAGCAATTAATACACAGATGCTTTTGAGAGGGCTTCCACGAGAGCTTGAACTGAAACCTCTTGTGTTCTCTTCCATATAACCCTCAACATCTTAGCCTCAACCCCTCCATTGACACCACCATACTCGCCTAGACATCATTCCAAGATCATGGGTGGAGAAACATCTAGATACTTGGTGAGCATCCATACCAAGTACTGTATTATAACATTTATTGTTACTATATTATCAATATTCTGTAATCTTTGGTTTTATGTATCTAGTGAGGCAATAATGTATTATGTACTTTTGTACATAAAATTATTATTTTTCATGCCTGGGGAAGAAGTGACCAGCTATCTGAACACAACTATATATCTAATCGCATCTGGAACTAAGGTGTTCAGATAGGAGAATGTTGAGTATAACATAATTCAGAATACAAATTTATTCTTAAGGCTTATTTTGTGTATACAGTACTGTATACTCACAAGAGGTCATGCACCTTAAATACTGTGCAAGACATGCACAGTAGATAGATCTATAAAAAAAAAAAAAGACAAACAAGCTAATGGAGGTATATATTTTTATATATATATATATATATTGATACATGTATAGTAAATGTGTTTGACTACACTTCCAGAAAATGACTCATGCTTGGGCAAGTCTACTCTGCCAAGAGCAGTCATTGGAATAAAGAATGGTAAAAGCTACCTCTAAATTAAAAGTAATTTATGCTGTTACTAGAATGAAGGGTATAAAAAAGTCATCACTAGCAGGAAGAGTACAGGGATCCATCAATAACAGAAAGGGTGCAGGCGATGAGTCACAATGTGGCTAAAGTATGTTGACCAGACCACACACTATAGAAGGTGAAGGGACAACAACGTTTCGGTCCGTCCTGCATCGACTTGAGAATGGTCCAGGAGGGACCAAAACGTCATCGTTCCTTCACCTTCTAGTGTGTGGTCTGGTCAACAGAAAGGGTACAAGGAGTGTTACGTAAAGCTGTCAGGACGTTAATTCGTCACACCAAGGTAGGATTTAAAAGTCTAATATCAAATTTCATATATATTAAAATTATTGCAGGAGAAACAAGGACAACAACTGCGGGGGTTGTTTGGGGACCAGCATGGCTCGTCCGGTGGCGGGAATTCTGATGGCCAATCAGTCACCAAACGAGGAAATGAACGCATGGAGAAACTGGAGCTTTGTCAGTACTCCACTCTCTCCAGCAACGCTGACATTAAGTACAGGCTGGCAGTTGACGACGTATTCTATTTTAAGCATTACCCCAACTCAGTGACTGATGTTTTGCTACTCTAGGAGGTTAAGAATATCTCCTGATGTTGATGTTTGCAGAGTATTGAAACCATTGAGGGTAGTGCCAGAGGGAGTTACGTGAACTCTCTGAACTTACGAATAGTAGAACTAGTCTGATGAAATGATTGTTCTATTCGAGACATATTGATGGCCTGGTGACAGATATTGGAATATTATTCTGTGACTTACCTTGTACAGTATATCTCTGTACATACAATTTAAATAAGTGTTTGTGGACAACATAGATATGTAGTCGCTGTGGTACATTCTTTTCCAAGAGTTAATTCGTGGCCATAATCAGGGCCCAGCCTATTAAAATGTGTCGCACCTGACAATGGGCCAGGCTGGGGAGTAAAACACCTGACTTAACCATAATGAAATGAGACCCCATTAGGAAAACTTGTATTAAATACTAGTGTACCTTATGGTTTAAATGTGTTGAGAAGTTCGATCCCAACAGGAGTCATCACTAGCTAGAAGGGTATAAGGTGTTGTCACTAGCAGGAATGGTATAAAGAGCCATCACTAGCAGGAAGGATATAAGGAGCCATCACTAGTAGGAAGGGTCACAGGAGCCAGCAATGGAATGACAGGCAGTAACATTCACATTACCACTATAATAAATAGGAAATTATATTTTAGGACTTACTTGTATATATAATTAACAATACTGGAAAGTTCTTCAAAGCGCACATCTCGAGGCATGATAATGACGGGATGCTGACATGGATTATCTCGCAAAACTCCTCGAAAATATGGGCTGACAGCTGATAACACGGACTGAAATAACAAATGAAATTTCAAAAACAATAAGATATATTAGCAAAACAATCGGAATTCTTGCAATGAGCAGATTCAATTATGAATAGCATCTTATGAGTTAATAATTTAACACACATGACTGTTTAATTCTTTCCATCATGAACTGTGCAACCCTGTATACTAGTAACATGATTAAAGTCTTAAAACAAAAAAATATCCTGTCAAGAAAATTTCCAATATTTAGAGAATCACGTACTTAACACTTTAGTCCGGGCATGACACAGCATTGCGTCATCTGTTTACTGTCGGTAATCTCCGGGATGACGCAGCATTGCGTCATCCCCGTCATCGGGAATTGAATGCAGAGCTGCAAGAAGCGAGACCGTCAGGAATTGAATGCCGAGCTGCAAGAAGCGAGATAGTCTCTACCATGCAGTCCAAGGGGTTGGGCCAGTTCATCAGTAGTGGACAAAGGATGTAAAGGCTTACGAGACAATACCCACAACCAAATAGGCAGTTACACAAGGTAGCGGTTTGGCCAAAACCAAAGTTCAGTGCTAACAAACGGCACACACCGAAGAGTGAATGAACCCCTGAACCCAACAGTCTGAAATACGGAGGCAACAGGGATGACCATCGGGATCTTAAAAACACTGAAGTACATCCCAAAAAACTGCAAACCTTAAAAGTATATCAGAATTAGATGTGGAAGCCAGAACAACCTAGCTAATAATACATGCAATACAATAAACCCAGCAGGGGTAAGGGACACAGACACTCATACCATTGAACAGAAAGGCAGACAACTGGGATCCAGTGAAGAATCTTTGAGAAAACAGACAATCCTAAACTAAACTTCTTATTGATAGTGTATGTATGATGCTTAAAAGTAATAAATTCCAGGTACTCAGATACGGCAAAAATGAGGAGCTGAAACATAATACAGGGTACAAAAGACAATGGAATCTGCCCATAGTAAGAAAGCAGCATGTTAAGGATTTGGGAATAATGATGTCCGACGACCTAACATTTAGCAAGCATAACCAAGCAAATATTGCGTCAGCCAGAAAAATGATAGGATGGATTACGAGAGCCTTCAAAGCCAGAGATCCCATCACAATGGTTGTACTCTTCAATTCACTTGTGTTGTCCGTCTTGAGTAATGCTCAGTACTCGCTTCCCCCTTCAGAGCAGGAGAGACTGCCAAAATAGAGGGAATACAGAGAACATATACGGCACGCATAGACGAGATAAAGCACCTAAATTATTGGGATCGTCTCAAAGTTCTCCAAATGTACTCACTAGAAAGGAGACGAGAGAGATACCAAATGATGTACACATGGAAAATACTGGAGGGCAGGTTCCAAATCTACACAGTAAAATAACATACTGGAGTGAACGATATGGAAGAAAATGCAGAATAGAACCAGTGAAGAGCAGAGATGCCATAGGCACAATCAGAGAACACTGAACACTGTATATACATCAGAGGTCCACGGTTGTTCAACATCCTACCAGCAATTATCAGAAATATTGCCGGAACAACCGTGGACATTTTCAAGAGAAAACTTGACTTTTTTTCCAAGGATTTGTGGTTTGGTTTGTGGTTTGGTCCACCAGGCTGTTGCTTGGAGCGGCCTGCAGGCCCACGTACCCACCACCTTACCTTGAGGTTACCTTGAGGTGCTTCCGGGGCTTAGCGTCCCCGTCGACAACCGGGCCGCGGGGACGCTAAGCCCCGGAAGCACCTCAAGGTAACCTCAAGGTAAGGTGGTGGGTACGTGGGCCTGCAGGCCACTCCAAGCAACAGCCTGGTGGACCAAACTCTCAAGTCAAGCCTGGCCTCGGGCCGGGCTTGGGGAGTAGAACTACTCCCAGAACCCCCATCAACAAAGTATCAACCAGGTATCTGCTACGTACAAAAAATGCACGTGACCCAAATACACCCTTGGCTAAAGTGCAAGAACCATATACATACACCAGGAGCTGAGCTGAACAGGAGAAGCTGGCCTTTAACATGTCCAAGCATCCAGTCTTAATAGTTCAAAGTTATTCTAATTTAAATGATCCTCATATCAAATCAAATACTGTCCCTTCCCACTCTATAGGCCTCACAGAACAACTTTACTTCTCATTCATTGACAACTCTACTCAAAATAATTGTAAATACAATTTATAAATTCATATGCAATAACTTAACTCTTAATATTAATAGCAAAAAGAAAATGCATTAACAAACCTTATGAGCCTTAAGAGAGTGTCCTTCAGCTGTTAAGGTAACATCCATGAAAAATTCATCACGTGCCAAGGCATCCAGTACAAATGTCAAGTGGTTGTCGTGTCGTAACTGGTAATTTTCTGTTGACAAAATATTTAATATTACTAAAATGTTGCTTGAAATTTCCAAGAAAAGAAACTTTGCACAGATGTTAATTATTGCAACTTAAAGAATGTAAGAGTAAATTTCTACATATCAAATAATGGGACTAAATGAGTAGGATCCTGTTCCTGCTAATCAGGACATCACATCAGGGAATTGTATCCATGCATTTGAATAATATAGAGCCTACTAAATAGAGTAATTTAAAACCAAGTTTAATAAATGTTATTGTTTGGAGATGTGCAGAAATAAATTTTTCATAGAATTAGTGAGAATACATGTATGAAATAAAAGGAGCAAATGAACAAATCCACAAGGACAGTGACAAGGATTCGAACCAACGTCCGAGAGCATCCCAGACACTGGGATGTAGGCAGCGTCTGGGATGCTCTGACGTTGGTTCGAATCCTCGTCACGGCCCTTATAGAGTTGTTCATTTGATGCATCACGCTATTGTGATTTCTGTGTGTCAAGGAGCAAATAATTGACATGCAACCAATGTTATGGAAAAGGAAAATGGAGTAGTACTAGTAGGAATGCAAAGTAGATAAATAACAATTATGAAAAATAAAGATAAAAACATGAGATAAATTTAAGTGAAAATACACAGCATGAAAAATTCATATAAAAGGTCTCAAGTTGAAGTAAAATGTACCGTGAAAAAAGCCTATGAAGTGTTGTGTTATTTCATGTAATAAACTTGAAACTGTATGAAATGTAGCAACATAGAAAATTGGCTCAACCTTAAAAGTTAGACACTGTCTTACTAATTGAGAATAAATGGTTACAAAAATAATAGGAAAGTTCCCAAAGAAGATTTTCTTATCACATAAAAGGAAGGACATTTTAAATATATTAAGGCAAGAAAGTCAACGAACCAATAAAAAACATACACCACTGAGGGTTCAGAGACCAAATCCTCGCAATCTGCCAAACTACACTGTAAACAAATGATTGAAAACTCTCGAAAAAATCGTGCATTTGTTTTCCCCATCCCTCCCACTCAGTTAGGGAGGGAGGGAGGGGAGCTGGGGCTCCTGCTGTCCACTGGCTCAAGCCATCAGTTTTGGAGCAGATGTACACAGAACATCCTCCAACCAACAACCTTATAGGAATGAGAGAATCATGGAGCCATTAGGGGTTCACTCGGAAATTGGCATTTCATTACACTCAATGCTGATTTTCTTGGGGAAGCCCCATGTGACTTCCTGAAACTAATTACTCATGGAGAAGAAAACAGGGGACCTGCCAGGGATGAGGACTTACTACAACACAGCATGCTAAAGCTTTTTTTAAATTATATTTTTCATTTATAGTGTGTGTAGAAATTCAAATTATGATGGTTGTGGTACAAAATTTTGCTAAAATGGTAATCTTTGAACTTTCCCAATAAGAATTCTGCTTATCCAGTGAGGGGGGGATCCTTCCCATAGTCCTGATAAGTAAACTTAGACAGTATACATCGTGTAAAGTAAACTGCTAGTAGATATACAGTGTATTCATGCTCCAACATAAACCTTGAAGGGAAGGGAACTATCAGGAGAATGCTCCATGCCATTATGACTATATAGGACTTGGAAGGGATCAGGATAAGGATTTGGGATTTTTTTTTTTGTAATTATATATACAAGAAAGTACATTGGGTTTGTGAGCGTACATAACATGGATGTTTTTTTGTTCTTGCAAAGCCACTGACACACACAGCATTTCGGGCAAGTCCTTAATGTAACAAACTTATTCAAGGCATCGTTTAGGAGCCCTGTATACCACTTCTGTCGGACTAATCTTGGAATATGCAGCTCCAGCCTGGAGTCCATACCTAGTTAAACACAAAGTTAGAGAAGAACAGTCAGCACTACTGAAAATATACAACTAATAATGAACCCGTCATCTGAGTGCGCATAGGTAATAGGTCAGCTAGAATTTTTTTTTTTTTTGTCAACTAACCTAAAAGTTACTCTCTTAGGTGATAAATACAGCAGACAGATTGAGAGTAAACGATGCATACAACTTTACCTGGTTTGTGTGAATGTTTTCCTGCCATGAAATGGTCGAGAGAAACAGCAACAGGTACTCCAGCAGCATTGTTGTAGACGAGACTGATATCATGTCGACCTTCCCGAGCTGGTATGCCAGAGGGAAAAATACAGTCAATAGTGAATGCTGTTGTGAAGAATAATTATTGATTTTCCAAATTTAAAGATGTATGTATTAGCAATAAGTGGATGCAATGATAATGCATTCCTGATGTTTGTATGTATCCACATCTAGACTGATTTAAGACATTGGGCACTTTATTAAGACAAATTGTGTACGAGTAACCACTTCCATACACAAGTGGAAGGGAAAGGGAACTATCAGCAGAAATTGCCATGCCATTACGACTATATAGCACTTGGAAGGAACGAGGATAAGGATTTGGGATGGGACGTGGGGGGGGGGGGGGGGGGGGGAAGTTACAGTACCCAACCACTTTGACATTTGGGGACTGAACGTTGACCTGCATGAGACGAGACCGTCGCTCTACCGTCCCAGTCTTGCATGATCCTGTTTATTTATATACAAGGTACACTGGGTTTTTGAGATTACATAACATGAATGTTTCACATTCTTGCAAAGCCACTAGCATGCATAGCATTTCTGGCAGACAGTCCTGTGTCAGTGAATACCAGCATTATCCTCTCACTAATAAGACCCAATTAAATTCCTGAGATTAGGCAAAATTGAAATTATTTTTTGTCAATAAAGATGTTAATAATCCACCGTCGAAGTGGTTGGGCTCACACTAAGAGTTTGCTTGCCCGAAACCCTATGTGTATTAGTGGCTTTAGGTATTGTATGTACTAGCTCTATCTTTAAATCTAACATTATGTTTGTAACTCATCTTCAATGTATGACCTTTACCTGAATAAAAAATCTAAATCTAATCTCTACTCTAGGTACGTCCCGCATCATTAGCAATGTATTCGTATTAGGTAAACTAGTGAACGTATTAGGTAAACTATTATGGGTGCAGGCCGCTCTGCTGGTGGTAGACTGCACACAACGGTACTGTTCTAGTCTACATGTTAGAGGAATAATAAAGCAGCTCGTATACCTGCTTTACGCATGTCTGCTTGGCGTTTCTTGGCTTTCGCCTGCTTTCTTGCTTCCTTCAACTTCTGTTTTCGTGCAAGCTCGGCAAGTATAGTGCACTCTCGACGTTGTCTCTTAGCCCTCGCGGCAGGCATTGTGAAATATGAAGAACAAACTCCTGAGAAAAAAAAATATATATACTATATATACAACTTAAATGCCTCGCCGCGCAGCACAGAGCGTCCGTCCCTCCCGGCAGCAGTGAGGCGACTAAGGGGTAAGATAGGGTTGCCAGATCCAAATTGCTGAAAGTAGCGAGCTGACGGTCTAAAAGTAGCGAATTTGTATTAAGAGTAGCCCAATTCGCTACTCGTAGTCCAATCTGCAGGTTGGTACATGAATTCAACCAACTACGATACCCATGTCCATGGGTAATAGGCTTACAGGTTCCGGAAGATGAGAGGAAATGTCAGCACTGTGGAGAAATGCCTGACAGACCACTGGAACATTATTTAACACAGTGCAGAGTCACAAACCCATTAAGATTTCAACTTAGATTCAACAGAGCAGAAGTTGTTAAACACATGGGACAAAATCTTACTGAAGCAACCATACGAGTCAAATTCTCATACAAGTAAAACAGAAACAAGCAACACTTAGTGGGCCAGCCAGAGGTTTAGGGCTCGTGCAGTTATATCCCTAAAGAGAGAATACACAAAAGTCCATTTCGTTCACAAACAGGCTAGTATTCAGGAACCCTTTTGTATACACGAGGTGTAGACAAATACGCAAATATAGTCTGCGGTGAGCAGTCTCCGTGGCGCATTGGTTAGATACTCGCCTGGCGTTTCGCAAGTGCTATGGCTTGGGTTCGAATCCTGGCCGGGGAGGATTGACCGGGCACCAATCCTTAACTGTAGCCTCTGTTCACCCAGCAGTGAATGGGTACCTGGTTGTTAAACGATTCGGCGGGGTCGTATTCCGGGGAAATTAGGGTTAAGGACCTGCCCGAAACGCTACGCGTGCTAGTGGCATTACAAGAATGTATGTATGTAAAACCTCTATAAAACACATATGCGCTGGAGTGTGTTCGCTTTGGTTCTCATCTTCCAAGATAATAAAATAACCAATTGAAATCGAGAATAAGTTAAAATTGTGAATAATAAGATGGCACATGAATCTACTATATTATAGTAATACAAAAGTATTTTTCAGATATGCGAAGCGATTTATCCTAATACAATTGAATGAATTAAATAAGTTTGTCTTAACATCTTTCATATTGCAAAATCACATCAAAATATCTACACTAAAATCATTGTAGGACGATGCCCGAAACATTGTGCGTATTAGTGGCTTTAGGCATAATGTATACTAGCTTTATCTAGAAGTCCAACATTCTGCTTGTAATTTTTTGAATGTATTTACTTTTACCGGAATAAACCCTATTATTATTATTATTATTATTTTTATTATTATATAGATATTAAATGAGGACTGGCGTGCTTAGCGCACGCCTTGTACTGTTGTATATCTATTATCTATCAGCGAAGACTTTGTTTCTTATTACAGAACGAATAGACTCGTGATGGAGCAAGCAATACAACTGCAATAATCCATTGCATGTTTGCACCTAGACCGTAGTTGCACACTTCACTGATTTTTTTCCCGCCAGAGGTGGATAGTTCCTTAAGCATCCCGTATTCAACCAGCAAGTGGTAGTATATTGTGCACCCTGGAGCCCGACCAGTTGTGTAACCGAAGCTCGCTCAGTTGTGTAACCAGAGCCCCACCAGATGTGTAACCAAAGCCCCGCCAGTTGTATAACCAAAGCCCCGCCAAATGCGTAACCGGAGCCCCACCAGATGTGTAACCAAAGCCCCGCCAGTTGTATAACCAAAGCCCCGCCAGATGCGTAACCGGAGCCCCGACAGATGCGTAACCGGAGCCCCACCAGCTGTGTAACCAGTGCCCCACCAGCTGTGTAACCAGTGCCCCACCAGCTGTGTAACCAGAGCCCCACCAGCTGTGTAACCAGAGCCCCACCAGCTGTGTAACCAGAGCCCCACCAGCTGTGTAACCAGAGCCCCACCAGCTGTGTAACCAGAGCCCCACCAGCTGTGTAACCAGAGCCCCACCAGCTGTGTAACCAGAGCCCCACCAGCTGTGTAACCAGAGCCCCACCAGCTGTGTAACCAGAGCCCCACCAGCTGTGTAACCAGAGCCCCACCAGCTGTGTAACCAGAGCCCCACCAGCTGTGTAACCAGAGCCCCACCAGCTGTGTAACCGGAGCCCCACCAGCTGTGTAACCGGAGCCCCACCAGCTGTGTAACCGGAGCCCCACCAGCTGTGTAACCGGAGCCCCACCAGGTGTGTAACCGGAGCCCCACCAGGTGTGTAACCGAAGCCCTACCAGGTGTGTAACCGGAGCCCTAAAAGGTGTGTAACAGGAGCCCTACCAGGTGTGTAACCGGAGCCCCAACAGTTGTGAAACCGGAGCTCCACCAGTTGTGTAACTGGAGCACGACTAGTTGTGTAACCGCAAGCCTAGCATGCACGAACCGAAGCCCGACCATGCATAACCCAAAACCCAAGAAACACCCCCCAGAGCCCGATCAGCTTTGTAACCGGAGCCCGACCAGTTGTGTAACAAGCCCCCAACCAGTTGTGTAACGGCAAGCCTAGCATGAACAAATCGAACCAAATTTCTCTGAAGCACAACCATGCACGAACCGAAGCCCGATCATGCACAACCCGAAGCCCTAGTGACACCCCCGGAGCCCGACCAGTTATGTAACCGGAGCCCGACCAGTTATTTAACCGGAGCCCGACCAGTTATATAACCGGAGCCCGACCAGTTGTGTAACCGAAGCCCGACCAGTTGTGTAACCGGACCCCGACCAGTTGTGTAACTGCAAGCCTAGCAAGCAAACATCTCATCCAACCCTCACCAAGCCAAACAGCCCCAGAGCCCAACCTAACTCCCTCCCAAGCTCTACCAAACAAACTCTTCCTTAGCCATACCTAACAACCATCATCCCTTAACAACTAACTTTAGAGCCAAGGCAAACAATTGAGCACTATATAAATAAAAAAACCTGGAACTCTTGCAAAAATACAACAATAAAGCCCTAGAAAATGAACATGCACTCAGTCATAGTAAAGAAACAACCATGATCTAGCAAAAAAACATGGGGCACTAGCGCACAACCCTTGGAGCACAACCATGCACGAACCGAAGCCCGATCATGCACAACCCGAAGCCCTTGTGACACCCCCGGAGCCCGACCAGTTATGTAACCGGAGCCCGACCAGTTATTTAACCGGAGCCCGACCAGTTATATAACCGGAGCCCGACCAGTTGTGTAACCGGACCAAGACCAGTTGTGTAACCACAAACCTAGCATGAACGAACCAAACAACCCCTGGAGCACAACCATGCACGAACCGAAGCCCGATCATGCACAACCCGAAGCCCCAGTGACACCCCCGGAGCCCGACCAGTTTTGTAACCGGAGCCCGACCAGTTGTGTAACCGAAGCCCGACCAGTTGTGTAACCGAACCCCGACCAGTTGTGTAACCACAAACCTAGCATGAACGAACCAAACAACCCCTGAAGCACAACTATGCATGAATCAAAGCCCGATCATGCACAACCCGAAGCCCCAGTGACACCCCCGGAGCCCGACCAGTTTTGTAACCGGAGCCCGACCAGTTGTGTAACCGAAGCCCGACCAGTTGTGTAACCGGACCAAGACCAGTTGTGTAACCACAAACCTAGCATGAACGAACCAAACAACCCCTGGAGCACAACTATGCACGAATCAAAGCCCGATCATGCACAACCCGAAGCCCCAGTGACACCCCCGGAGCCCGACCAGTTTTGTAACCGGAGCCCGACCAGTTTTGTAACCGGAGCCCGACCAGTTTTGTAACCGGAGCCCGACCAGTTGTGTAACCACAAACCTAGCATGAACGAACCAAACAACCCCTGGAGCACAACTATGCACGAATCAAAGCCCGATCATGCACAACCCGAAGCCCCAGTGACACCCCCGGAGCCCGACCAGTTTTGTAACCGGAGACCGACCAGTTGTGTAACCGAAGCCCGACCAGTTGTGTAACCGAACCCCGACCAGTTGTGTAAACACAAACCTAGCATGAACGAACCAAACAACCCCTGGAGCACAACTATGCACGAATCAAAGCCCGATCATGCACAACCCGAAGCCCCAGTGACACCCCCGGAGCCCGACCAGTTTTGTAACCGGAGCCCGACCAGTTGTGTAACCGAAGCCCGACCAGTTGTGTAACCGAACCCCGACCAGTTGTGTAACCACAAACCTAGCATGAACGAACCAAACAACCCCTGGAGCACAACTATGCACGAATCAAAGCCCGATCATGCACAACCCGAAGCCCCAGTGACACCCCCGGAGCCCGACCAGTTTTGTAACCGGAGCCCGACCAGTTGTGTAACCGAAGCCCGACCAGTTGTGTAACCGAACCCCGACCAGTTGTCTAACCACAAACCTAGCATGAACGAACCAAACAACCCCTGGAGCACAACTATGCACGAATCAAAGCCCGATCATGCACAACCCGAAGCCCCAGTGACACCCCCGGAGCCCGACCAGTTTTGTAACCGGAGCCCGACCAGTTGTGTAACCGAAGCCCGACCAGTTGTGTAACCGAACCCCGACCAGTTGTCTAACCACAAACCTAGCATGAACGAACCAAACAACCCCTGGAGCACAACTATGCACGAATCAAAGCCCGATCATGCACAACCCGAAGCCCCAGTGACACCCCCGGAGCCCGACCAGTTTTGTAACCGGAGCCCGACCAGTTGTGTAACCGAAGCCCGACCAGTTGTGTAACCGAACCCTGACCAGTTGTGTAATCACAAACCTAGCATGAACGAACCAAACAACCCCTGGAGCACAACTATGCACGAATCAAAGCCCGATCATGCACAACCCGAAGCCCCAGTGACACCCCCGGAGCCCGACCAGTTTTGTAACCGGAGCCCGACCAGTTGTGTAACCGAAGCCCGACCAGTTGTGTAACCGAACCCCGACCAGTTGTGTAACCGAACCCCGACCAGTTGTGTAACCACAAACCTAGCATGAACGAACCAAACAACCCCTGGAGCACAACTATGCACGAATCAAAGCCCGATCATGCACAACCCGAAGCCCCAGTGACACCCCCGGAGCCCGACCAGTTTTGTAACCGGAGCCCGACCAGTTGTGTAACCGAAGCCCGACCAGTTGTGTAACCGAACCCCGACCAGTTGTGTAACCGAACCCCGACCAGTTGTGTAACCGAACCCCGACCAGTTGTGTAACCACAAACCTAGCATGAACGAACCAAACAACCCCTGGAGCACAACTATGCACGAATCAAACCCCGATCATGCACAACCCGAAGCCCCAGTGACACCCCCGGAGCCCGACCAGTTTTGTAACCGGAGCCCGACCAGTTGTGTAACCGTAGCCCGACCAGTTGTGTAACCGAACCCCGACCAGTTGTCTAACCACAAACCTAGCATGAACGAACCAAACAACCCCTGGAGCACAACTATGCACGAATCAAAGCCCGATCATGCACAACCCGAAGCCCCAGTGACACCCCCGGAGCCCGACCAGTTTTGTAACCGGAGCCCGACCAGTTGTGTAACCGAAGCCCGACCAGTTGTGTAACCGAACCCCGACCAGTTGTGTAACCACAAACCTAACAAGAACGAACCAAACAACCCCTGGAGCACAACTATGCACGAATCAAAGCCCGATCATGCACAACCCGAAGCCCCAGTGACACCCCCGGAGCCCGACCAGTTTTGTAACCGGAGCCCGACCAGTTGTGTAACCGAAGCCCGACCAGTTGTGTAACCGAACCCCGACCAGTTGTGTAACCGAACCCCGACCAGTTGTGTAACCACAAACCTAGCATGAACGAACCAAACAACCCCTGGAGCACAACTATGCACGAATCAAAGCCCGATCATGCACAACCCGAAGCCCCAGTGACACCCCCGGAGCCCGACCAGTTTTGTAACCGGAGCCCGACCAGTTGTGTAACCGAAGCCCGACCAGTTGTGTAACCGAACCCCGACCAGTTGTGTAACCGAACCCCGACCAGTTGTGTAACCGAACCCCGACCAGTTGTGTAACCGAACCCCGACCAGTTGTGTAACCACAAACCTAGCATGAACGAACCAAACAACCCCTGGAGCACAACTATGCACGAATCAAACCCCGATCATGCACAACCCGAAGCCCCAGTGACACCCCCGGAGCCCGACCAGTTTTGTAACCGGAGCCCGACCAGTTGTGTAACCGTAGCCCGACCAGTTGTGTAACCGAACCCCGACCAGTTGTCTAACCACAAACCTAGCATGAACGAACCAAACAACCCCTGGAGCACAACTATGCACGAATCAAAGCCCGATCATGCACAACCCGAAGCCCCAGTGACACCCCCGGAGCCTGACCAGTTTTGTAACCGGAGCCCGACCAGTTGTGTAACCGAAGCCCGACCAGTTGTGTAACCGAACCCCGACCAGTTGTGTAACCACAAACCTAACAAGAACGAACCAAACAACCCCTGGAGCACAACTATGCACGAATCAAAGCCCGATCATGCACAACCCGAAGCCCCAGTGACACCCCCGGAGCCCGACCAGTTTTGTAACCGGAGCCCGACCAGTTGTGTAACCGAAGCCCGACCAGTTGTGTAACCGAACCCCGACCAGTTGTGTAACCGAACCCCGACCAGTTGTGTAACCACAAACCTAGCATGAACGAACCAAACAACCCCTGGAGCACAACTATGCACGAATCAAAGCCCGATCATGCACAACCCGAAGCCCCAGTGACACCCCCGGAGCCCGACCAGTTTTGTAACCGGAGCCCGACCAGTTGTGTAACCGAAGCCCGACCAGTTGTGTAACCGGACCCCGACCAGTTGTACAACCGCAAGCCTGGCAAGGATACATCTCATCTAACCCTCACCAAGCCAAACAAACATCCCAAGAGCCCAACCAAACTCCCTAACGCTACCAAACAAACACTTACTTAGCCCTATCTAAAACCCTCCACTTGCCCTAGAAACGAACTATGGAGCCATAGCAAACAAACAATTGAGCTCTGTACGAAATAAGAAACCCGGATTTCTAGCAAACATACAACCATGGAACCCTAGCAAACAAACCAGTACACAACCATTGGTGCACAACCATATGCACGATCCGGAGCCCGACCATGAATAACTATTAGCCCAACGAGTCACACCCCCGGAGCCCGACCAGTTGTGTAATCGCAAGCCTAGTAAGCAAATATCTCATCCAACCCCCCACCAATATGCTAAGTGGGGTTATCTTGAGATGATTTCGGGGCTTTAGTGTCCCCGCGGCCCGGTCCTCGACCAAGCCTCCACCCCCAGGAAGCAGCCCGTGACAGCTGACTAACTCCCAGGTACCTATTTACTGCTAGGTAACAGGGGCATTCAGGGTGAAAGAAACTTTGCCCATTTGTTTCTGCCTCGTGCGGGAATCGAACCCGCGCCACAGAATTAAGAGTCTATCCACCAGGCTACGAGGCCCCTTTTGCTGCTAGTTTTCATTTTGGTGCCAACCCTTTTTGTCTTATACATCAATGACAGATGAGATTATTACAAACCACGCCAAATTTGCAGATTTAACTAAGATCTATGGTAAAGTGGGAAGTGAAAGTCATATTGAAACCTTACAGAGATCTACATGAACTCCACAAATGGTCAGATGACTTTTTAATGTCGATAAATGCAAGACCTTGCATGTGGGGCATAATCCCCGTCACAACTACCATGCTTCACCCTCAACACATTTCAAGGGCAAATAATTGCCAACAGAACCTAAATGCCGAACCTACTATACGCGTAAACATAGAATATAAAATTAATTTATACGCGATGAAAACTATTTTTAATACTCAGTATATGAAAGTCGATTATACATGCGTCTTGGGGGGTGGGGGGGGAGGGAGTCAACTGCCGCGTTAACGAGCCTAGCCTGACGACGGGGTGGTCTAACACTCTGGGGAAGTGTTACATAATATCTTACCCAAATAATGTTGGCAAATCATGATCCTCAAAATCTTCCACAATATCCGAGAGAGGACAGACTATTTAGCATTAGTGGAATACAAACACTTGAATACTACAGAACCCGGATGAAAAAAACGGAAATAATGACTCTGAAGCATTACAAAAACTCAATGTTATAATAGCGAACAAATGCATAAGGCATTGTAGGTGGAGGTAGACTATATATTCCTGCGTACCTCACAACTGTTCAGATATAATAGAAAAAAAAAAAAAAAAAGATCAGCCTTACCTACACGGGACCGACGTAATTCACGCCGCGGCTGCTTCCTGACGACTGGCGGCGCCATCAATCAACCGTAAGCGTCCAACTGACCCAGAGACCCCCTGCCTAAAATTATTTTAACGCCAAATTGAAATTCCTATCTATAGCATCAGGAGTGTGTAAATTAATATTTATATGCATTATAGGCCTTTCTAAAGTAATTTATAGATCTGAATTTCATATATTGTCTAATAAACGAATTATTCAAGTTAATATTTTAATTATGTCAGATACGTCTCGTCACACACAAGAAGATTCAATTCGCGGGGTTTTTTTATTTATACATAAAAAGAGTTCTTAAATTATTTTTTATATAAAAAGAGTTCTTAAATTATTGTAAAACCACTAGCATGCATAGCGTTCGGGCAGATCCTAAATAATATTGTTTTCCCCGGAATACGACCCGCCAAATCGTTTAACAACCTAGACCTAGATTCAGGAAGCTCTGTGTATTTCTTCGTAAGTGGGTTTGCTACGAAGATTCCTAAGTGCGCCCTAAGAAGATGCTTAGGTGCTATTCAATAAGGTATACTTAGGAAGAAAAATTGTTGGTTCACCTGCGTGCCGATAGAGGTCACTACTGTGTTTCGTTTGGCCAATCAGAGAGCAGCAACATTCTTCATATTGAAGATTTAGCGCTGGCTTATCGCAGCTCTACTGCCTCCTATTTACGTCGAATTTTCTTATAAAATTAGTATATTTCGAAGTAAAACAATGTTTTTTCAACTTCTACAGCCAGCACCGACATTGTAGTAAACAAATATGTTACATTTGTTGTTTACCTACGTAATTCTAAGAGATACTGTGTAGCTGTCCGTGTTGCTCGGAAGATGCGCTGACAATTATTGTATATATTTACTGAATTTACCCAAGGGCCACTAACTATCTAGTGACCTCGAAGAGGACAGAAAGCCGGCGGCTTGTTGAAGGGCCCGCCAATTGTCTTAATTATATTTTTTAGCTGGAATTTGGCATTTACGGCTTCAGCGGGTAGGCGGTTCCATGGGTTTATAGCCCTCTTGGTGGAAAAAACATCTGTTTTCAGTCCTACTTGAGAGAACATACTCTCCAACACTATATCTGTGATTGTCCTGTTATCAGTGACTTCATACCAAATGGTATGAGGTATTTTGAGCTCTGTAATTACTTCATACACTCAGGAATATTGGAAGATATTCTTGTGCTGCACCCAGATTTTGCCAGTGGAGGCTAATAGATCAGCATTAAGTATTTTGTTCTTTCCTAATTCCATGTATGACTGGCCATCCTGTGAGGTGAGCTTGTAGCTGGTTTTTGATCTACACTGTGTGGTCCTTTAGACAGAATAGGGAAGCAGCACATTGCTGTGTATACCTAAACATGTTTAAAAATACATTGTTTGAGAGGAGTTTTGTAGAAACTGGTAAGAGTAATTATAATATAATGTTTCCATGATTCAGTGCTTACCTCTTGTGAAAATTGCTTAGAGTTGTTTAGTCAGAGTTGATTTGTTTTTTGTATTGAGGCTGGTATTTTCTAAATTGATTCCATGTACAGTATGTCTAACCATCCTGTGAGATGGGAGTATTAGATAAACTTATAGCTAGTTTTTTATCTACACTGTGTAATATTCCATATAGAATAGGGTAGCAGCACATTGCTGTGTATACCTAATCTTCTTAATAAAAAAAATCAGTAATAAAGATTTTAAATTATAGTTTGTATTATTACAAATACAGTACTGTATTATCCTTATTAAATCATGTTGACCATGGATCATTAAGATCTCATGTTGATATGTAATACAAGTCATATTTCTTTTGAACTGCTAATCCATGCTAATCATTCATTAAATTGTGTATTATGTCTCAATTTTTCACTTCCTTGGATATACTGTACAGTACAAAAAGATAGGATAAAAATAAACCAGTAATATTTCTTTCATTATATTTTTCATTTAAATAACTGCATCAATATTTTTACAGCTGACAGGATTTGTTTTACCATACAGGTGCATTATTTGTTAAAAAAAATTTGGTTTATTGTTACACACAATGGTGCTACATAGCCTTCCCAGCTTGGTGCCTTCTTTTAATACTTACTGATTAAAAAAATAAATAATAAATACATTTTATTCAGGAAAAGTACATACAGTTGATTTACAAACATAATGTTGGATTTATAGACAGAGCTAGTACATACAATACCTAAAGCCACTAATACTCATAGCATTTCGGGCAAGGTGTGGGGGAAAAAACACAGACTAAAACTTAGTAATCGGGATTAGGTATAAATTGTGTTGAAAGAAGGAATAAAAAATACAAAAAGGGGGGTTAGCATAGCATAACTCAGCAATTGCACATGTTGGTGAACAGCGTTGTTTAAAAAATAGCAAGACATGGGTTGACATTTAGGAGGTAAGTTAGGTTACATGGAGTTAATTAGGCAGTACTTGGTTTAACTCTTAAACTGGTTGAGAGAGGTACAGCCTTTGACATGATTCGGGAGGTCATTCCACATTCTGGGTCCCTTGATTTGTAGAGCACTTCTAGTTTGGTTACACACAGCCAAATTGAGTAACAGGAAGAGGTCTTGGACACAAATTTGTTCCATGCTAAATGTAGAGGAATCAGCTGAGTATTCCTCAAATAAAATAAGTTGCCTCAGCTTATAAGGTAAATAAAATAAGCATTTCTCAAATAAGTAGCTGCCTCACCTCACTGCCTTACTGCTACATAGCCTTCCCGGCATGGTGCCTTCTTTTGATAATTACTTGTTCCACACCCAAATTGTATAACAGGAAGAGGTTTTGGACCCCTACTTCCCTCTCTCTTTTTTAATAATCTACAGTATATAGTCATAATTATAGCTTTAAGTATTCAATGAATAAAGTTTGTGACATTTTTACCCTTCTCCTTACCTAACATCATTTGTGCAGCATATTTTTATTTTATGTCTCACCCAGATTTAATTTCAAAATAAAACCAAACTAAATAAATTAGAAATGGGTATGTATAGCTAAGGTACACCCTTACTACTAGGTGAACAGGGGCATTTGGTGATAGTAAATGATCCCATCAGGCAGGGCTCATCACCTTCTCTCATATTTCATGTTCACCAGTGTTTATTTACTTAATAACTACTGGTATAATATCTTGCTATTATAAAACTAATTCTACTATCATCAAACACATATTTACTTCAAGTTTCAAGCAGAGAATGCATATATAACTAACACGAAGGATTCCTCTTCACTAGATTCACCAGCTATAATGTTTTGGTCATGTTCCAATATCATAAATCGATCCCAGTGTTATGTAGTAGAGAAAAAATGACTTATATCCAGTTTACGTAAAGCTACGAGTGGTCGAAACCACACTTAAATCCCGGAATGAACTTACGAAGGTTTTTCCACTTAGGGTACCTACTTGAATACGGACCTAGCCGCCACGAAGGCGCTAAGAAGGAATTCGCTCTTAGCTAAGAGGAAAAACCTTCGTAAGTACCTTCCTGAATCCGGCCCCTATTCTCTGCTGGGTGAACAGTTAAAACACTATCGGTAACTTTGGACCAGACTCGCGTCCATTATTTTTCTCCTGAGTCCTAACTTTGGACCGGACTTGCGTCCATTATTTTTCTCCTGAGTCCTAACTTTGGACCGGACTTGCGTCCACTACAAAAAAATATTTGTATAAAATTCATTTTTTATCCAATCGACCTCGGGATAGTATCAAAATAAGCGCCTTTAGAATGCGCACAATTTGATACCAAAATGAAAGATGTAACATGAAACTTGATGTTCGAACACTTATATGTTCTTAGCTTATATAAATAGGCTTTTGGTCAAAATTTTAAAATATTTGTTAAAATTCTATTTATTGTGCTATTATGTTGGGACTAGTTTTAAAATGCGTGCCTTTACGTTGCGAACAATTTGATACCAAAATTAAAGATGTAACACAAAAATTTATGTCAGAACACTGGAAAGATATAAATAATTTTGTGATGATCAGCGTCCAGAATTAAAATATTTGTTAAAATTCCAGTTATTGCTCTATTATTATGGGACTAGTTTTAAAATACGCGTCTTTTTATTGCGAACAATTTGATACCAAAATGAAAGACGTAACAAAAAATTTGATGTTATCAAATTGAACGAGTGTACACATTAAGTTGCAGTGTACAAATTGGTGCTCGTTCACGGGTAACTTTAGGCTTTTCTGCGGGGAGGCACTCCAGGCTTTTGTACATTATATTCATACACATCTGTAGGGAATTTAATTGCGAACACAATGATACCGAAACGAGCGACGTAGAACGAGGATTAAAGTGAGAAAAATGGAACGAGTATGCACATGTTACTGATTTTGTGCGCTCATGGGTAACTTTTGCCGACTTTAGGCTTTGCTGTTGGGAGTCACGCCAGGCTTTTGGACATTATATTTATACACACCTGTAGGGAATTTAATTGCGAACACATTGATACCAAAACGAGCGACGTAGCACGAGAATTAAGGTGAGAAAGCTGAAACGAGTATACACATTTAGGTGTCACCGCTCACTTACCTGCACGCTCGCCCGCACGCTCGGTGCATGACCCCTAAGTTGACCGCGCGCCTGCTCGGTGAGGTTTGGTTTCCATAGGGAATGGAAAGGATGGGGGAGGTAGAGGGATGGGGAGATGAAATTCAGGAAGAGGATGCGGGTGTAGAGAGAGAGGAGGTTTGAAAGTTCGGTGGCCTGTCCACCATGGGTTGACATTTTGTATGTGTTGTTTGTTTGCGTATGTGTTATGTTGGGTTGTCAGTACATTGGCTGAGGGGGCTAGTGTTTGTGACCTTGTTGGTGTCCTAAAGCACTAGAGCCGATGGAGTTGGCTGAAGGAGGCTAATCTTAGAAACATCAGGGTAGTTACACTTCTGCCGCCACGACAAATGGTTTTTTGGTTTTATATTTTTTTGTAGGTGTTTTATTTATTTATATATTTTTTTTTTTTTTTTTTTTTTTTTATTATTTTTTTTTTTTTTTTTTTTTTTTATTTATTTATTTATTTTTTTTTA